CAATGGGGGGGGGGGGGGGGGGCCCCCACCGGGGCCGGGCTTCTCTTTTTGGTACCTCGCGCGGGACTTTCACTTTTTTTACTCGCCCCCGGGCCGGGGGGACAACGTTTCTTCTTTCCGCCTTGCCTTTCGCCTTGCCTAAACCCTGGGCGGCCGCCCCCCCCCCCCCACCCGCCGGGGGCCCGAAGGTAATGCCCGGGGGAGGGCTCCGAAAGCCCCCCGCCCGCCCCCGCCCCCTGTTTAAAACCCGAACAAATTCGAGGGGCGGAGTTACCGGCCCCCCTCCCCCTAGGGCCCGGCCTAACCTGCCCCCCCGGAACGCCCGTCCAAACTTTGTAACCCCCGCCCCCGGGGACTCCCCCCCCACAGAACTGGCGCCCTGCAAGGAGGGTCGGGCCGGGGGCGCGGTTTCCGGGGCTTTGGAAGGCGGGGGGGTTGGGTTTTGGGGAAGAATGGTGCGCGGCGCTGAGAGGGCGAGAGGCGGGGGACCCCTGGCCCGCGTTTCCTGGGGCTGGACTCAGAGCGAGTTCTATTTGACCCTCGCTGGAGCCCGGGATCCGGACCGGAACAGGCCCGGTTGAGCCGGGGGCGTCCGGCGAGGAAACCGGGATCTAAAGGCCCGCGTGGAGGGGTCGGGGTGGCCTGCGGCCCCGGGGGGTGTCGGGTCTTCCGAGGGAGGACAGCGGCGGCGTATCTCTAACTCAGGAGGTATTCGCCTGGCAGGGTCATGAACTTGGGCAGGAAAAAAATTACACCTTCATCGTCTCTGCGGGAAGCAGCGTTTCCTTCCCTGACGGACGTGCAGTGTCAGCCCAAAAGCAAGTCGTGGTGTCAGGTGGGGACGAGTGGAAATGACAGAGTATCTGCAGCTACCACCTAAAAGCTATTATTCCCATCATCGCTCTTTGACATGACAGGGTCTTGTTATTTAGTATGTTGAAAGGAAGCATATATACTACTACAGACAAGTTTGTTTTTAAAACATTTCATACCTATTTCGATATATTTTTTGTAAACCCATATATTTCATTTAATGCAGGTAAACACTTTATTTAATGTGGCTGTTTGAAAATTTAAAATTACATATGTGTTCACATTTTTTAAAATATATTTTATTTATTTTTTACAGAGAGGAAGGGAGAGAGATAGTTAGAAACATCCACGAGAGAGAAACATCGATCAGCTGCCTCCTGCACACTCCCTACTGGGTATGTGCCCACAACCAAGGTACATGCCCTTGACCGGAATCGAACCTGGGACCCTTCAGTCCGCAGGCTGACGCTCTATCCACTGAGCCAAACCGGCTAGGGCTTCACATTTGTTTTTATTGAGTTTCAGGCGTCAGCAGACACGGAATGATAAAGGTCCTCTGCTGGTGTCACTAGGGTGCTGGTCAAGAGAGGTTGTCCGATTTGACCCTCACAGGAGCGGGGGATCCCAGGGGAACAGGCCAGAGGGGCAGTGAGTGCGGCCGCCAGGGTTGAGCCGGGGGCTCAAAGTCAGCCCAGTTGGGAAGCTGACCAGTCCGGCCCACAGCTCTGCTGCAGGGCCCCCAGCCAGTCCCTCCCCGTCCTGGGCCTCAGTTATGAATCTGTTCAATCTGCCATCATCTCTGACGTCTTTCCAATGGTCATCTGATATAACTAGACCTTAACATTTTTTCATGCTGGTTATTTTGATATTTTTTATGAAAGAGTTTCAAATATGCAGAGCAGGACCTCTAGCCTAGCACTGTCCAATAACAATATAGTGTGAGCGCATATGTAATTTTAAATGTTCAAGTAGCCACATTAAAGAAAGTAAAAAGAAAGTGTGAAATTACTGTTAACATTTCTTTAGCCCAGTGCATCTAAAAGGTTAACATTTCATCTTGTAGAATAATTGTGTATTTTACATTTTTTTGGTACAAAGTCTTTGAAATCTGGTGTGTATTGTATACCTCTGGCTCATCTTCATTCAGATTAGCCACGTTTCATGTGTTCAGTAGCCACATGTGGCCAGTGGCTACCATATTGGACAGCACTTTGGTCCACAACTAGCCCATTTGTCCACAACTTTTTACAGAAAAGAAGTGCTTGAATTAGCTTTCCTGGGCATAGGTCCAAAATACCAACATTTCCCCCCCTAATAATAAATGATAGCTGTAATTTTTGAACATTTATTAAATGCTAGACATTGTGCTAAAAACATCTCATTTAATGTTTATAACCTTGTGGTAAGGTGAGTGGGATTATCCTCATCTTGCAGCTGAAGAAATTGAGGCACAGAAAGGTCAAGTAATGGTTACAGTCACACAACTCTGTTCAGGTCTCAAGCTCAGCTCTCATTTCAGCACCTGTGCTCTTAGATCATCTCTCTATATAAAAGGCTGATATGCTAAGTGTCCCACCGTCTGGGTAATGACGTCACGTAGCAATGCCCAGCTTCCTCTCCCTAGTGACGACTAGCCTCCTTGCAGTTTCTTCAGCTCAGGAACACGACTTGCTTTATAGCCAGGTGCAAATATTTCACACTTTAACCAAATGTCTGTGAAGTGTTTCCCATGCCTCATCTCATTTGATCCTCACAGAAGTCCTGGAGTAGGTAGATAGGAGACTCCGTGGAATCCTATTTTCTTTTCATTAGCCGGAAAACAGAGTTTTAGAAAGCTTAGAAACTTGACCTGATTGAAAAGAAGAAATGGTGGACATTGAAAATGACTTCAGGTTTTCTCACTGCACAGAATATAGTCAAACACTGCTGCAGTTAAATATTTTACACTTTGTTCTCCCTGCGTGATCTACAATAGTAATCTGCTTTGTGTTGGTATTTACTGCTGTGTTGCTGATAATTACCTGAAAGAAGTTGGGGTGCTTCACTGGGCTGGAAAAAGTTTAGCTACATCAGAAAGCAGGTCTAATTAAGCAAGTTTATATACTAGAGGCCCGATGCATGAAATTCGTGCAAGGGGCTTGGCCCCCCGCTGCTGCTGCGGATGCCTTGGCCCCCTACGCTGCGGCGGCCACCTCTGCCTCAGCCCCCACCTCTGGGCTTCGTCCAGTAGGTCGTCTGGTCTAATTAGCATATTACACTTTTATTATAGATATAAAGCTCTTGCTGGCGCCAATCACATGCGTGTGTTTCCATCTCATTGTCGATCATGACACTTCTATTATGGAGAAAGGGCGAATAGCGATATTATAATATTTCTTCAAACTAATTTCCATTCAATGTGCATGAATTTGTGCACTGGGCCACTTGTTGCTTGATAATATCACTAGCTTATATCTGTTGAGTGCCTACTGTGCCAAAACTGTGCTGCACGCTATGTATCTGAGACCTCATTCAAACAGTGCTGTGGGTGACGTTATCGTTAACCCCAGTTTACAGGTGAGGAGACTGATGCCAGAGCAGGACTCATGGATGGTCGTTTGGCAGAACCTAGGCATTCCAACCTCAGGGCTCATGCTTGTAACCACTTCTCTGTCTTCTTTCTGCCTTTTTGGGTTATGAACCTGAGTTGACTTCATTGTTTTTCTGACCTATGCCAGGCCCTGGAGGTAAAAGCCAGAGATGGACCTGGTGAGGCTTGCCCGGCTCTTCTCCAGCCCCCGCCCCCTGGGACTGTCCATCCTGCAACACCTTGACCCTCTCAGAGCCAGGTGGGCAGGAGGTAGGGAAGGGCCCGCGTGGCTGAGGTCCATGGGGCTGACTGGGCCAATACCAGCAGCCTTCAGCAGCTCCCTCTCTCAGCTGCCCCTCAGCCAGGGGAGCCAGAAGAACATTCGCAGCCTCAGCTCTGACCCACGCCAGCCCAGCCCCATGGCCACCCAGGAGGAAGAGGAGGAAGAGAGTTTTGGGACTCTCTCCGATAAATACTCCTCCCGGAGAATGTTCCGCAAATCGACGGCCCAGCTGTATAACCTCCGGCTCAGGGAGCAAGATGAAGAAGATGATGAAAGGGAGCTGGAGCCAAAATCATGGCAGGGCCGAAGAAACACCCCTTACTGGTACTTCCTTCAGTGCAAACGCCTGATCAAGGAAGGAAAGGTGAGGGAACCTTTGGGTTCTGCTGCTCCTGGCTCTTACATCCCTGGTAGCTCAGTTTTTTGTGTGAGGGCCTGCCTTACCTTTTCAGTCCCTAAAGGTTTGGGTGCTCAGGGCTATTTTCTCCTCAGTCTTCGCTCACCCTGGATGCTGTACCAGGTGACCCCTCCTCACTGCAGCCCGGCCTTCTCGTGGGCTCCTGATCTGTGTATCTAGCTACCTCCTCAGCATCTCCCTTACACTTACCCACATTGACCTGAAACTTTCATTTCCAACCTTGTTTTCCCTACACTTTCTTCATCTCACTAAATGGCAACCCCATTATTCCATCTGCCCAGGCAAAATGACTTCAGGTCATTTCTAACTCTTCCCTTTTTCTCACCAGCTCTAACTTCAAAATGTTGCCAATCCTAACACTTCTCACAACATCGCTGCTGAATGCCCAGGCCTAGCCTTCTCTTTGCCCCCTTACGCCTGTCACAGGTCTCCCCGCCACTCTTGCCATCTCCTGCCTGGATGCCAGCTCTAACACAGAGCCATCCTGTTAAAGCAGAAAGCAGTTATTGTTACTCCTCCCTCCAGAACTCCTAATATATTCAGTGACATTGAAGATGTCCACTTTCTTAGGTATCGATAATGACATTCTGTTTATGTATAAAGTTCTCTGCAGCGGTTCTCAACCTGTGGGTCGCGAACAATGAAAATACATCCTGAATATCAGATATTTATATTACGATTCATAACAGTAGCAAAATTACAGTTATGAAGTAGCAACGAAAATAATTTTATGGTTGGGGGTCACCACAACATGAACTGTATTAAAGGGTCGCGGCATTAGGAAGGTTGAGAACCACTGTTAGAGGTATGTATTGAAGATTTTATGAATGGAATGATAGGATGTCTAGAATTTGCTTTTAAAAATTCTGTTGATAGGGGGAGTGCAGAGTATAGATGAAACAAGATTGGCCAAACGTTAATTATTGTAGTTAACACTGTTCTCCATTTTGTGTATTTTTGAAATGAAAAGTTGAGAAATACAGAGAAGCAGAGTCCTTACAACGGCTTATGAAGCCTGCAAGATCTGCCACCACCACCCCTCCATCCCTCCCCTTACCTTGCCGCCCTCATCCCTCCACTTACCTACTGCAGTCCTCCAGCTCCCAGGCAGACTCCTGCACTGGCTGTTCCCTCAGATAGCCATGGGGCTCCTTCCCTCACCTCCTTCAGATCTTTACTTACCCGTCACCTTCTGAGGCTCTGCTTGGCTATCGTATCTAAAACTGAACTCCCACACCCTCTGGCACTTACTGCTTCATTTTTGTTCATAGCACGTGTCACCACTTGACCTACTATATATTTCTCTTAGTTATCTCATTTGGTGTCTGTCTTTTCAGACTAGAAGATGAACACCAAGAGGGAGCCCCCTCTTGTTCTCAGCTGTATCCCCAGCAGATAGATCTTGCCTGGCATAGAGGACTCAGTAACTACTGGTTGAATGAATGGATGAAAAAATAAGGAGTAAAGGAGTGAACCAAGGATTTAAAGGGGAATGGCTTAGGGGTGGGGGTGGGTCAAAGAGCTGTGGGCCAAGGGAGTTTGCAGTTGGAGGAAGCTGGCCACTCAAGGCTGTCGTCCTACACCGTCTCAGGAGGCTGTCGGTGTGGGGTGGAGAGTGTCCATAGGTGGTGGGAGTCCAGTGGGCTTTCCTTCCTGGCTACACAAAGCTCCCATGCTGCAGAGCACAGGGACCAAGAGGCTGGTGGCAGAGGCCCAGGGCGGTGTTTAGCTCTTGGGCAGGCCTGGTCTTGGGCTCAGGGAGGGTCCCACAATCTCAAACTCCCTCCCTCTGCTGAGGGTCTCTGAGGCCCCTGAACCCCCTTCATTATTCCCTTCTTCCTCCCCCAGCTGGCTGAGGCCCTGGACCTGTTTGAGAGGCAGATGCTGAAGGAGGAGCGACTCCAGCCCCTTGAGTGCAACTACACGGTGCTGATTGGGGGCTGTGGGCGGGCTGGCTACCTGAAGAAGGCTTTCCGGCTCTACAACGATGTGAGTGGGGGCAAAGCGGTGGCAGGGGCAAGACTCTAAAGAGCATGGGTTTAGGGACCAAAAAGAGCTGGGTGCTGATCCTGAATGTGTCACCTGCTAGCACAGGACTCTGGGCAGTTGATTTAACCTCCTCGGCCTCGGGTCCATCATCTGTAAATGGAGATGATCTTGGATAATTACATGAGATCACATGGGAAGTCCTCCAGCATCTGCCTGGCCTTGGAGGCCCCACCGATCCTCTTCTTTTTCCATTTCCCAGTTTGTTTGTGTTCCTTTTCTCTCGTCCCTATCTTCACACGCCCACCCCCACCACACACACACACACACACACACACACACACACACCTTTCTTTCAAAATTGGTCCCTTTTTTGTTTTTTCAAAGTTGGTGCTTTGAACAAGGGCTTTTATTCTCTTGGAACATGGTTTTACTTTACATTCACCCTCCTCTAGGGCGTATCGTATTTGTTATTCTCGGAACCGAGAAACTATTTCCTTTGTGAGTCAGGAAAGAGCAGTGGACTCTAGCAGCAGTGATCCCATCTTCTCCTGCATCCAGAAGCTGGGACATCCTTTACTCCAGCAAGGATTCTTGGGAGCCTTAGTCTTGTCATTTGGAACACTCCTACTCCAGGCCTGATCACCTCTAGTGGGAGCAAGGGGGAGGAATCATACTTACAAATGATAAAGCGACATATTCTTTAAAAGACCTGATTAAATGTCTTGGCATAGAAAAACAACAGGCTGGCTGCCCTGACCACCTAGCCAGCAGAAAAGCACTCAGGTACTAAGTGAAGGCGGTGGGGTGGGAGCACATTTATTGTGGCTCTTGGTTAAGAGTCCTTAGCAGCACTTAGATTTGGAGGATCCTTAAGTGACTTCCCACACGTCACCTCCTCAGGGAAGCCCAGGCCATTCTATTTAACCTTAGCTATTTTCTATTACTTTGCTGCTCCACCCCTCCCCCCATAATCATTTTATTTTATAATAATTTTAGATTTATAGAAAAGTTGCAGAGATAATATAGAAAGTTCTCAAATGCTCCCACCCCCCTCCCCTATGTTAACATCTTACATTAGATGGTGCATTTGTCAAAACTAAGAAACCACTGTTAGTTCATAGTTCATTGTTGTTAACTAAACTCCAGAACTGTATCTGGATATCACCAGTTTTCCACTGATAACCGTTCTGTTTCTGATCCAATCCAGTTTCCATACTGGCTCCTCCAATCCGTGACATTTTCTGAGGTTCCTTGTTTCTCCTGGTCTTGACAGTTTTGAGTAGTACTGGTGGGGGTTTGTAGAATGTCCCTCATCTGAGAATTTGTACATTCTCATGCTGAGACTAGGGTTATGGGTTTGGGGGAAGAATATCGCAGAGGTGACGTGCCCTTCTTATATAAGGTCTTCACAACATCACCATGACTTATCGAGGGAGACATTTACCGTGGGCCCTTGGTGACGTGGTATTTGCCAGGTTTCCCCACCACGGAGTACTATTTTTCCCTTTCCAGCCTGTTCTGTGGGCGTCCTCCACAGCACTTACTACAGTTGTTGGCTACTTACTTGTCTGGTGTGTGTCTCACCCTCTGGAGTGTAGGCTCGGTGAGACAGGCTGTATCTGTCCTGGTAACCACTGGTAGCCAGCGCCTGACTCGCAGTAAGTTCTTAGTGCACATCTGTCGACAGTGTGAGTCCATATCAATTGCTGTCATCCTCGAGTCGGGATCACCGTCTTCATTTTTCAGATGAGGAAGCCGAGGCCTGGGGAGATGGAGTACTTTGTCCAAGGTTACCCCTGGGGTTAGGGCTCTTCACGCTCCTCCGCAGCAGCTCCTTGCCTGTCCTTGTCAGGTGGCCCTTATCTGGAAACAGTGAGCGCCTGACTTTACCAGTTCAGTCATCTGGAGGGCTTCATGAGCACAGTGTTGGCCCCAGCCTGGGGTTTGTGACTCCGCAGGAAGTTTGTGTTGTAGTAACATGCTCCTGGCCGCTACTGGTCTGGGGGTCACTCTTCTACCCAACCCTTGCAACACCTTTCAAGGTGACAGTATCATTCCTGTGCTTTTCAATGAGGCGCTAACGTGCCCACCACTGTTCAGTTAGTAAGCATTGCAGGGGGGCTTTGATTGCTACCTCCCACCCTTTCCCAGAGCAGATCCACCCCAGGCCCCTTAACAGTCAGGGTGACCTGGTTGGCCAGAGGGTGAGAGCATCAGGAAGACCCTGCTTAAAGCACCTCAGGCCGAGGGTGAGCTGATGAGCGCCCTGGGGAGGACAGTTTCTTGTTTGGTGTAACTGGGATGCGGGGTCAGTTTTCAGAGTCCCTGTGGCTGAGTTGGGTTTGGAAAGCTGAGCCCTGATGTGTCACTCAGCTCTGCCTTCGTGCAGACCCTGCTCCCAGGCCTGTGTGATGCAGTAATGGAGTCCCCTCTAGTGTCCTTTGGGTGCCTGTCACCTTTGTGTCCAGCTGACCCTAGAGCTACCTCTAAGTTTCTCCCCATCTCCACAGATGAAAAAGCGGGACCTGGAGCCCTCCGATGCCACCTACACAGCCCTGTTCAATGTCTGCGCCGAGTCCCCCTGGAAGGACTCCGCTCTGCAGAGTGCCCTAAAGCTACGGCAGCAGCTGCAGGCCAGAAACTTCCAGCTCAACTTGAAAACATACCACGCCTTGCTGAAGGTGGCAGCCAAGTGTGCAGACCTTAGGATGTGCCTCGATGTGTTCAAGGTGGGGATGCCCTTCCTCCCTGCCTCCCACTTGGTACCTGTCCCATGTAGTGGGTGTGAGGCTGTGGCCATCTGTGTCCCTCACAGGAAGGTTCAGAGACCAGTGAGATGGGCCCCGTGCTGGGCTCTGGGGTTCACAGATAAATCTGACGAGACCCTGACCTCAGAGGCCTTGGTCAGACAGAGAGGCCCCTAACCCCATGAGGACAGTGGGGTCTGTGCACAGCTGTGTCGGACTTGGTGGTGCCACAGGGAGGGTGGCCTCAGAGCACTAAAGATGAGTCTGCTCACCGGGGAGGGCCTCCTGCGTAGAAGGAGTAGTGGGAGCCCAAGCCCTAGTACCAGGGCGCTGTGAGGCTTCGAGGGAAATGGGTGAGTGGAGGCATGGGAGTGCTGAACATGGGCTTGTCTGCATTAGAGCTTTGACTTGTAGCTTCTTATCTTCCTCAGCAGCCCCATAAGAAGGTTTTCAATTTCCACTTTACAGAGGAGACCAATACAGGGTTTGAGTATGGAATACCATGAGCGGGTGATAGGTGTGCTTGCTCAGCTTGCCAGGAAGTGGGACAGATGTGAGTTAACACTGAAACAGCCTTATGGGAAGCAGAGAAGGCTCTAGGTCCCCACAGTCAAATCTCAGGAGAACTAGGGCAGTGTCAGGGCTCAGCATGCCCTTGGCAGCCTTGTCCTCACACTCTTCCCTCAGGCATTTCTCACTCTGTTCTTACCTTCTACCCAGAGTGACTTGACTGCTTTTCCTCACCACACATAGCAACGTCCCACCTGCCCATTCCAGGTAAGGGGACCTGGTGGACTGTCCGGGCACCGTGTGGTACAGAGCAGCCTTTGGTCAGTCCCTGGGTCGGTTACCTGGAGTGAGCCTGCCCTGCTGGAGAGGCAGAATTATGGGGCTTGCAATTCAGTTTCCAGTATAGGGGCTAAAAGTGACCACTGGGGTGGTCTTTGCAGGAGGGTGCACAGAAGTGATAGGAGCAGCTAGGAAAGAGAGGAGGAGAAGTGCAGGCAGCAGTTGGACAGCTCAGGAGCTGGTTCTGAGCCTCTTCACAATGTGCAGACTTGGACCTGCCCCAGGAATGTCTGTCCTGAGCCAGACCTAGTGGGCGGGTCTGGGCTCTGCCACAGGTTCCCAACAGGAACTCCTCATTCCCTCCCCTAGGAAATTGTTCATAAAGGACATGCGGTCACAGAGGAGACCTTCAGTTACTTGCTCGTGGGCTGCATCCAGGACAAGAAGACAGGCTTCCGATATGCCTTGCAGGTCTGTCCCTCCTGACTCTGCTTTCCTGCCTTTCCTGCCCCCACCACCCCCACTCTGTGCCCTTGTGTCCGGTACAAATGATGATCCTTTGTGTCTTTCTTGAGCTCCTGCTACTGCCCTGGGCTGGGTGTTTTTATATTTGCCATATTTTGGTCTTCCCAGAGCACAGTGCTCACCTGCCCCACCTCATTTTACAGATGGCAGGGAGAGGAGCCCTAGGAGGCGGTGGTGGCATGGCTGCTGAGAGTGAGGGCACAGCCAGCTCATGGTCTCCTACTCTGCTCGGCGGCCTTCTGTGCAGCCGGCCTGCATCTACCAAGCTTATGGTCCGTGCAGCACATCTACCTGGGGTACTTGCTCAACCATATCTCACAGCCACCCCCTCAGCCTCTCTGCAGGGGAACCCCAGGAGTTGCATGAAGTTCTGGGAGAGTCTCACAGACATCAATGCTGAGACATGCTGCTCTAATCCCAGGAAGAACTCCTCTCATCAACTGGGTAGGCAGTATTAGCAGTGGTACCACACCTGTTCTAGCTCCTCCAAGTAGAGAAGGACTGGCAGCTCACCTAGAGCCCTCCTACTTCAAGGGTAGCCCTCAGACCAGCAGCATTAACCTTACCTGGGACTTGCCAGGGTCACAGACCTCCCCCCCGCCCCCCAACATAACACACACACTGCATCCAGATCAGCATTTCATCAGGATCTCCAGGCAGTTGGTCCACACAGAGTTCAAGCCCTAGTGATCTGAGACAGCCTTGGACCAAATGCTTGCCCGTTCCCCCCCGATGCAGACTCGCTGGAAGGAGCGGCCACCGGCCATCCTCTGGCCATCAGCAAGCTTTATAGTGAAAACCAACCAAGGCCTAGGTCTTCCCTCTCCTTGGCCTAGATCTGTTCTAGTTAGAAACAGTCTGTAGTACTAACAGCTATGCACAGTGTCTTGCACTTATTAAACTGCGTGAGCTAGGCACCAGGAGCCTTGTTCTGTAGAAAAGGAAACTGAGGCTCCTTATGTAACTTGTCTTAGGTCCCACAGCCACTAAGCAGTGGAGCTGGGATTGGAACTGAGGTTCATCTGACTCTAGAGTCAGAATTCTGGGATAGGGTCTGTGTCCCTGCTGAAACTCACTCTGTCAGCGTTCCCTGAGGAGGTGCCTGCCAAGACCCTTGCCCTCCTCAAGACCCTGACTGGTGGATAGCAGCCTTCTTGCTAGATGTGCCCATCTGGGCCTGACCAGCCCCTGCCTCCCCTGCACAGGGGTCCCTGATGAGGGCAGAAGTCAGAGCTCTAGGCCCACTGAGTGTGGCTTTCACCTGAGCACAAAAAGAGGAGCAAGTGATACCTTGAGCCCATGTGGTGCCCTCTTGGTGTCAGTCACCCAGACATCACAGCTTTTTGGAGAACACGCAGCATATTAGACACGGTGCCGTGGGGATGAAAATGATCTCATTTCATGAGGAAATGGGGCTGCCTAGGCCCACAACCTGGCTAAGTCCCCCGCCACCCACACCTGCCTTACGCTCTCAAGTGTGAGAAAGCTGCCTGGGGCAGGGCACACAGTAGGCACTCAGGGAGTGCAGCTGAATCCAGTCCTTAAGTTGGCCTAGACCAGCCATGGGCAAACTACGGCCCGCGGGCCGGATCCGGCCCGTTTGAAATGAATAAAACTAAAAAAAAAAAAAAAGACCGTACCCTTTTATGTAATGATGTTTACTTTGAATTTATATTAGTTCACACAAACACTCCATCCATGCTTTTGTTCCGGCCCTCCGGTCCAGTTTAAGAACCCATTGTGGCCCTCGAGTCAAAAAGTTTGCCCACCCCTGGCCTAGACTCTTCCATAACCTCGCCTCTCTGGCCATCCACCCGCAAGGGAGTACAGAGGTGGGCAGAGGCCTAGAGAAGCCTGTTGCCTGGTACAGGGGCCCTGAGAGAGGGCAGAAGGATGAAACAACAGCTTGGGGTGAGCTAACGAGGAAGGGAGTGATAATTCCCTGAAGTTTCCCATAGAATTCCCAGGTTCCTGCCCAGAGCCTGGGGTGGAGTCATACTCAGTCCTTCCTGCACCCTTAGTGTTTGCCAGCTGGTTGCTGGCTCAGTGCCTTCTCCCTCCTGAGAGGGAGCAGGGAGCTGAGGCTTGTTTCTCTCTGGCAGGTGTGGAGGCAGATGCTGAGTCTGGGGCTCCAGCCAAAGCGGCATGGCTACAACCTGCTGTTGGGGGCAGCTCGGGACTGCGGCCTGGGGGACCCAGAAGTAGCCTCAGCGCTGCTCCTGAGACCCAGGGAAGAGATGGTGCTGCTCCAGCCCCGGGCAGGTGGGCGGCAGGCAAGGAGGAAAGCCCAGGCTGGGACGGTTGACAGCATGTCAGCCAGGCTGCACGTGGAGACCCTGGAGAGACAGTTGTTTCTGGAACCTTCTCAGGCACTTGAAAGGCCTCCAGAGCCTCAGGAAGCCAGAGTCCCCAGCAAGGCCCAGCCCAAGATGGAAACCAAAGTGGATCCTGATCACACTGTGGCCCTTGCCTCTGTGGCCTCAGAGCCGCCTCCCCGGGAGCTGGAGACTAACCTCCTGACTCTGGGGCCGGTCCCCCCGGCTGTGGTCTCCTTTGGGACCGTGACCACATCAGCAGACAGGCTGGCTTTGATGGGGGGCCTGGAGGGCTTCCTGGGCAAGATGGCAGAGCACGGACTCCAGCCTGACATCAAAACCCTCACGCTTCTGGCTGAGGTGGTAGATCCTGGTAGCCCCGCAGAGTCCTCACTGCTGACTGTCCTGGACACATACCAGGTGGAGGTCGATGTGACATTCTTCAACACTCTGATGAGGAAGAAGAGCAAGCTGGGTGATCTGGAGGGAGCAAAGGTGAGCGTGGAGGCAGGCACAGGACTCTGCTCTGGAGCCCTCCTTCCCCCTCCCTCCTCTGACCTTCCGACTGTGGGACTATCTTCCCTGCCAGGTGTGTCATCCAGTTCCAGAGCCCCTGTTCTGGGCCTGGGCTCAGGTGAAAAGCTGGGAATCGAGCGAGCTACCTTCCCAGCCCTCTTCAAGGAGCTCACAGATTGGTGGCTGGTGGCTCCTGAGTATCCCTACCCTTCAGCCGCCCCACCTCACTGACTTCACACTTACTCTGCGCTAGATGCTGTTCTAAGAGCTCCACATCCATTTGTTTCTTTACTGACACGCACTTCACTGATGAGGACACTGGGGCCCTCCATTCATATGACATGTTTCTATGTGATGCCTTTTTTTGCCAGAGTACTAACCTGGGCACTTGTGAACATCAAAGATGACAAAGACAGCCTCTGCCTTCAGGCTCACAGTGCAGAGTGCATCTTTCTCTAGATCAGCTAGATAGGATAGAGCCCCTCTGTGGAACCTTCTCCGGCTCAGCCAGCACTTACCACACTGTTGTCGGCGTGTCCCACCCTGGACCACGGGACCATGAGCCCCTAAGGCCTCTGGTACTCCATGGACATTGAAAGCCCAAGTGCAGGGATGGATGGCCAACAGAGAAGTAGAGAGGGACAGGAATATGAAGGGCATTCAGGGAGAAGGGACAGCATATTGGAGACAGGCAATCTAGAATGCAAGGTGTACTTGTGGAACAGCTGAATTCTGGGGAGGTGGCTGGACAGGACCCTGGGCCCTTGAATAATATGCTGAGGCCAGTGCCCAATGTGGCCAGCAGAGGGAGCCTGAGGCCGTGGAGCAAAGCTCTACCCCTTGGGTCTCCAGCATCTAGCCAAGGGCTTTGACAGACAAAGCTTTTGCCAGGGCTGGTGGGGTACTGCTTATGGTGATGCCATGTCTATTCCCATAGGCGCTGCTGCCAGTCCTGGCAAAGAGGGGAATTGTCCCCAACTTACAGACATTCTGCAATTTGGCCATTGGATGCCGTAGACCACAGGATGGTCTGCAGCTGCTGGCAGACATGAAGGTGAGTGAGCCCAGGCCTGGGCAGGACCCATGGTGCTGAGGAGCACTCTGGGGGTGCTCAGGAAGAAATCTGGGTGGCGGGAAGTGGGGGTCCTCCCAAACCTCCCAGGCCTCTGCAAGGTGTACTTATAGAAAGCTGAATTATGGGGAGTTGGTTGGGTAGAATAAATTGTGGGGGTGGGGGGAGGGAGAGTGGGGTCATTCTAGCTTCAAGGGTAGAGTGATCATTGGCCCAATTTGGGAGAAAGTAGACCCTGGTGAGCTGCTGCAGGAATGGGCATTGAGAGCAGGGATGTTACAATCTTGAAAGCGGTGGCAGTGGGGTGAGATTGAGGGCTGGGGACAGATCTTGGCCCCAACACTTTGAAGACTAGAGAGCAGGGATGTAGCAGAATTCTTGGGTTGGGGCTCAAGGGGGTACAGTAAACCCACAGCCAAGAACTAAGGAGGTGGTCTCCTGCCTGAGTCCGTTGATCTCTGAGAGCAGTACTCTCCTCCACGTTCTTCAGGACTGAGGGTAAGGTACTGAGCGTGTGGGATGGAGCCTCAGAGTGGGGCATCTGTGCTTTCCTTTTGGAGGGGCAGTGCAGACCATTGTTGCTACGAGGTCCTGCCCTTCTTGTCCCTGGTCTCTAGTCTTCAGAGCAGACTTGACTGGCAGGGTAACTCACCAAGCTGGACATGCTGCAGCAGGCTTTCCTCCAACAATCACCATCATCTCGCTGATTGTATGTCTGTGATGTTCCAGAAATCCCAGATGACCCCCAACACCCACATCTACAGCACCCTCATCAATGCGGCCCTCAAGAAGCTGGACTACACCTATCTCATCAACATCCTGAAGGACATGAGGCAGAACAGAGTTCCAGTGAATGAAGTCATCATCCGCCAACTGGAGTTTGCAGCCCAGTACCCACCCACCTTTGACCGGGTATGTGCCCCAAGCTCTAATGTGCCCGTTGTCACCTTAGCCAGTGCCACTCCCACCCCTGGTTCTGGCCTTCTGGGATTGGTATTCCCTTGCTCTAAGTTGTCAGTGGCTACCCTTAGGAAAAGTCCCAAACTCCGTAGACCACAGCTTGCAAGTCCCTCCTCCACAAGGCTTTCATCTCAGGCCACTCTTCCCTTTGTTCACTGTCAGTCCAGTTTGTACTTCTGTCTTTTCTAGATAACACCAGCCTTTTTCCTGCCTCAGGCTTTTTGCATTCTCTCTGCCTTAAATAGACTCCCTCTGCTTTTTCACATAACTGGCTCCATCTCATTTTGTAGATAGATCTCAGCTCTTAGAGGATACTCAGCTGACTGCCTCCCTTCCCATTACATAAAGCACTATTTCTTTTCACCACGTTTCACAGCTTATAATTACATGTGTGACCCTCCCCTTCATGAAATTGTAAGCCCCTAGAGGTGGAGACTGTCTCTGCCTTGCTCACCTGGATCCCTGGTGCCTGCCCTCTGCCTGTACCCAATACGGACTGTTGTCAAGTGAAAGGGGGCGGCAGTAGGGCAGTGATAGAATCTGTTCTGTAACGGCCATTTCTGTCTGCCGTTCTGAGGGTATCAGAATCTGAGGGTTCAGATTTTAGGCCTACTGAGTCAGACCATGTGCCACGGATTTAGCCTGAGAAGCACCATCCCAATGAGTAGGGAGAAAAGTTGGCAAGGACACACCAAGCTCCACCATGGAGGCATGGGGTCAGGGACAGCTGGTTGTGTGATGCTTGAATGCAATTGAAGGCACAGGAAGAATTAGTGATAGCAGGGAAGAGTACGCCAGGCAGAGGACATAGCTGTGTGCCTTTGAGCAGTTGGTTTAGTCTTATCGATTTCTGAGTTCTTTATATATTCTTGGTATTAGTCTTGTTGGTTGCATGTTGCAGATATCTAGTTAGTAGGTTGTCTCTTCACCCTGTGGTGTAGGGCCCAGTAAGGTTCTTCTCAGGTTGTCAGCTCCCCAGACTACCTAAGTACTTAAAGCTTTTTGTATTGAAATCATATATTCATATTCCCTTATGAGAGTGGACTTATTTCTGTTTGTGATTGTGAAGGTTTTGCTTTATGTACTTTGAGGCTACATTAGATACATACAAGTTTAGAATTGTTAAATCTTTTGAATCAACCCTTTTATCATCATGTGGTAAGTTTATCTCTGGTACTTTTGTTTTTTGTCTATTCCTCCCCCAGCTTTCTTTTGGTATCTGCCTGGTGCATCTCGTTTCCTCCTTTTCTTCCCACCTCTCTGTAGAGGCCACTGCAGCAGTGCTGCGATGACAGTCATCAGGGAGACAGTGGCTGTGCAGAGGTAGAAGCACTCAGCAGACTGTGGAGGTAGAGTTGGTGGGACCTAGCGATTCTAGCTAGGGGCTGGAGTAACATCCTTGGGTATAGGAGAACAACACATATTTAGGAAGGGCTGTTAGCAGATGGGAATCTGGGTCAGCCTTATGGTATAGCAACTTTGCTTTTCAAGAGTATACTCAGGTATTATCAACAGCTTTTGTGCCCTCTCCTTTCCACAGCTTCCCTGAGGCCTGAGCCAGCTGCTGCGGTTTGAGATTAGCTGTAGGCAGCATGCAGTGATTCTAATTGTGGCGCCTCTAAACCCTTGAATTCCATGCTTTTCAATTACAGTACAAAGGGAAAAACACCTACTTGGAGAAGATCGATGGCTTTCGAGCTTATTATAAGCAGTGGCTGAAAACGATGCCAGCAGAGGAAACCCCCCACCCATGGCAGCAGTTTCGAACCAAGCCCACAGGGGACCAGGACACTGTCTCTGAGGCTGATGTGGACAGAGGCCGTGGGGGCAGGTGATGAGGAGGCCCAGGAGGATCTCCATCCAACAAAGTGCACAGCCTTCACAGTGCTTTGTGGGAACTTCAGGAGTCCCTTTCATATTAAAGACACATGAGCATGCTGGTGTAGCCTCAAGCATGAGGACAGGGTCTGGCCAGAGTAAGAATTGCAGCATTTTGTATAAAGACAAATGCTGGGCCCAGGGTGCCTGACTAGTTCACAGCAGATCCCAGCACAGCTTGGGCCACTTTGGCACATCATCTCAGGCCATCTTGACCTGAGAGGTTGTCATCCCCAGGGAACTTGATCCTGGTCACATGGCACCTATGAGGTGGAGTCAGGATTGAGTCCCAGGGGCCTGGTGCTCTCCCACTGGGCTCTGTAAAGAACTATCGCAGGGCCTAAAGGTTTAAAAGTTTTATTTCTACAAATCACAGCTGATGAACACCAAAGCCTTCACACATAGAGACCATGCTCCAACTCGGTCCTGTGGCACTGCTCTGCCAGAAGAGCTATCAGGAAAGGGGGTGGCACGACAGGCAGAAACCTGAGAAGTCCAAAGTCCTGGGTGGAAAGGGGTCAGGGCCCAAGGGCCTCAGCCAGAGCAGCCCCGGCAGCCGCAGTGTGTGCACTCAATGATCCGGCCCTGCAACAGAAGACAGTTGAGACACCACACCCAGCCATATCTGCCCCCCTACGTAGTAATCCTCCCACTGAGAAAGTTGACAATGGGAGTCACTCCCTATAGGGCACTCCTCTATGACAGTTCTGGATGGCAAAAATTCAGTTCCCGTGTGAAAATGGAAACAGCTGCTGTTGACACTGAAGTTACAACTCATTGTACTTTTAATTTAAGCCAATTAAACACATTTCTCCCAAAAGGGGGGAAAATCTGTGTGACTCTTGTTATTCTGTAAAGTGAGCATGATATACCCTGCTATGAGCTGAGGGGGTGGAGGGAATTCCTACTGTTCAGGGGCCTCAGATCCTCGGCTGGGGAACCTTCCAGTAGGCCATGGGGAGAGAATGGTATGCACTTGAATCTGTACAGTAGCAGAAGTCTTTTCTCCCAGGCCAGGGACCTGTCTAGTAGACAGAAGACCTCAAAGCAGTGGTTTATATTTATTTTCCTCTTTTTTGGAGTAAGACCCTTACCTAAGCAAATAAGATCTGATGGTGAAACCAAACTAAAATCCAAAGCAGGCTCTGTTCTGGCCATAAGGCTGGGGGAGTACCTCCCACCAGACGCTGCCATGGAATCCTGGTGGTCTCAGAGGAGCTCCTGCCACTCTGCTCCCAGAAAACTAACACCCAGAACCTTCCCTTGGGGAGGCAGCCCTCGTTCACTTTCCACTGCTCAGAATGCTGTGTCTTTAACTTTCCAGATGATTCAGGGAGACAGCTGCCTACTGAGCTAAAGCCCTGGCCCAGAGCTGAAACTACAGACTAACTGGTCTGCAGAGTAAAGGGTCCCTGTGGTGACTGTGAAAGGCCAAACCAGAAGGTGAAAAATCTGGCTTCAGCTCCCAACTGGACTGACAACTGTCAGCCAAGGGGCTGCACTCAAAGGCCACTAATGGCCAACATCCCAGTAACTTCTCTGCCTCCTGTAGCCCCATTTCAGAGGGGCTTGTGCTCTCAGCTCAGTTACTGCATACTCAGCACCATTTCCGAGGTTTGTAACTCAAAAGTTCTGACAGAAGAAATAGTGTAATTAAAGTGCCGAGACCTGGAAAAAAGCTCAGCTGAAGAGTGAGTACTATTGACTGCCTCACCCTTCCCTGACTCAGTCCTCCCAACCACCTTAGAGGTAGATGTTATTACTCCCATTTTGTAAGTGAGGCATGGAATTCAATAACTTGCTCAAAGATGGAGTTGAGACTGGCCCCCAGACAAAGCAAATACAACTACTGCCAAACTGCCTAGCATGGCTTCCTGAACAGAGGGACTCACTTCTGGGATGGGGGTGGGAGGGAATGGCCAGCAGGACATCCAGCAGCCAAATTATTTCCAGCCCCCACAAGTATAAACTCTCTTGGCGTCAACTAGGACAGAATTCTGAAGTGAAAGTGACATCAAACCCAATAGTCAGTCATGATAGGGATAGAGACATTACCACTTCCAGCTTGCTTTTGGGAACCCGGCAAATGCAATTCGTCCCAAAATTGGTGTCTCGTGTCTGAATGCACCGCAGGCAACATAAGTTTTCATAACCCTGCTTTTTCCATTTTGCAATCAGGTTTTTGTCTGCATAGCCTTCTTTAATACAATATTCATATAGTTCTGTCAAAAAGATGGGAAAAGGGCATCAGATCATGGTAAAACAAAACTTGCCCCACCCCTGGCCCATCACTATTCTTCATTGAATAGAATATCCAACATTGCCCCCCCCCTTTTTTTAGTGAGTGAAACTTGCTGAGGTTGCTATAATAGAGCCATTACTTAAATAAATCTCAAAGCTACTCAAGTTGGAAAGGCTAAGAGAGAATCTAGCCAATTACCTCTGCTTATGGCTTTCCGCTTATAGAAGAGGTCAAAAATATAGCGGGTTTTCTGGTGGTGGATCCTGAAGATAGGCCACAGAGATTCCACTTTCCTCTTTCCCTCATGAGGTTCTGTTTCAGCTGGGGAGAAAAAGGTGTTTGATTTATTTTGGCAGGCAGGGTTACTCTGCACAGGATATAGTGGTGTGTGTTTTTAAATAAAGAGGAATAAAGAATAAATCCTACTTTATACCCACTAGGGAGGGTGGTTACAATAAAAAATGAGACAATTTAAAAAAAGATAAGTAGTGAGGATGTGGAGAAATCGGAATCCTCACATGCAGCTGATAGGAATGTAAACTAGTGTAGTCTGTGTGGAAAACAATCTGGCAGTTCCTCAGGAAGATAAACAGTTACCATATGACTTAGCAATTCTACTCCTGAGTATATACCCAAGAGAATCAGAAACACACATGCACACAAAACCTTGTATGTGAATGTTCACAGAAGCATTATTCACAATAGCCACAAAGTAGAAACAGTTCCAGTGTCCATCAACTAATAAACAGATAAAATGTAAACAATACAATGGGATATAATATATATATATATGTGTGTATGTATATATGTGTGTGTGTGTGTGTGATATATATATATATATATATATATATATATATATATATATATATATGGACTAAGTGACCAACCATATGACCATCCGACTGACTGGTACATATGACGTGCACTGGCAATTTAAAAATAAATGTTGACTTGCGCATGCGCGATATATATGAAGCTCTCACTGGCCCCAATCTAGACAGAGTAGGAATATTCCTACCTGAACCCGTTTTGGGACATGGTGAGTTATATGTTGCTTTTTCTCAAGTTCAAAGAGCATGTGATGATAAAGTTGAAGTTATAAATATTTCATCACAAGGGAAATTAGTCAAGCACTCTGAAGGTGTTTTTACTCTTAATGTGGTATACAGGGAGATATTAGAATAAGTTTAATCAATTTATCAGTCATTGTTTTTATCAATGTTGTTTTTATATCATGTTTTTGTTTTTTACATCATGTTTTTGTTTTTATATCATGTCTTGGTGTTATTATGTCATGTTATTGTTTATTTATTAATCAATTTATATATTATTTTCATATACATTTTAATAATTTTCTTTCATCTCTGACACTTCTATTATAAAGGGCGAATAGTGATATTAAAATATTTCTTCTAATAATTTCCTTTCAATGTGCAAGAATCTGTGCACTGGGCCACTAGTTCAGTCATAAAAAGGAATGAAGTACTGATACATGCTACAACATAGATGAATCTTTATTTTTTCAATTTTTTGGGTGAACCTTTCAAATTACACTAAATGAAAGAAACTAGTCCCCAAAGCCAACCTACCATATGATTCTATGTCTTTAGAGACAGCAAGTGGATTACTGATAGCCTAGAATTGGGAGATGGCCCGGGGTGGGGTGGGGGGGGGGGGAGGAGAGAGGGTGACTACTAAAGGGTATGCATTTTTTCGGGGTGATGAAATGTGAAACTGATGGTGGTGATGGGTTGCCCAACTCTGTGACTATACTAAAAACACCCTTTATTTGAACACTCTGAAAGGGCAAATTTTACATTATATGATTTATATCTTAATACAGCTATTTAAAAAAAAATAAAGCAAAAAGAATAAGCCACATGATTTAAACAATTATTTTTTAAAATATATTTTTATTGATTTCAGGGGGGGAGAGAGAGAGAAGGAGAGAGAGAGAAAGCGAGAGAGAGAGAAACACCAATGATAAGAGAGAATCATTGATTGGCTGCTTCCTGTACACCCCACACTGGAGATGGAGCCTGCAACCCAGACATGTGCCCTGACCAGGAATTGAACTGTCATCTTCTAGTTCATAGGTTGACGCTCAACCACTGAGCATAATTGTGGCCATAATTATTTTAAATTTAAAATGCTTTTTTAATTACATAAATTACAAAACAATTCAAACATAACCTCTGTGAACACCCTGGTCTTTATCCTTCCAAACCTATTTCTATAGTCTAATAATTTCTCAACATAATTCTGGGCCCACAGACTGGCATCCTAATCATCTTTAAAGTACCTCTAATTTCATTGCCAACCAAAATCCTTTAGGGATAAAAGAAAAATAAAATTGGACTAATCTGAAAGTTCATAGTATGGCAGGCCTGCAGGAAATAACTGCTCCATCTATATATATAGGATCGGGTAGCAGCTCCCACCTGCCACAGACAATTCTCTTAGTTACAAGTTGATCTTTATCTACCACCTCCTCTTGGTTTTTAGAGCAGAGGAGAAAGGTGAGGTATGGTAAAAAAACAAAACACAAAACAACAAACCATACCTTAATTTCTCCAACTTTGAGGCCATTTAAAAATATATATATTTTTTAATTGATTTTTTACAGAGAGGAAGGGAGAGGTATAGAGAGTTAGAAACATCAATGAGAGAGAAACATCAATCAGCTGCCTCCTGCATACCCCCCCACTGGGGATGTGCCCGCAACCAAGGTACATGCCCTTGACTGGAATCGAACCTGGGACCCTTCAGTCAGCCGGCCGACGCTCTATCCACTGAGCCAAACCGGTTAGGGCTCAGGCCATTTTTAAAACCTAAGATTTATAATTCAGCTCAACAAATGGTTTCTGTGATTGAATCAAGATGTAGGTGCTAGGACACAGCAAAAGCACACTGTGTGCCTCATGTGGAGAAAGCCCTGCTCTGGGTGCCCAAGATACAGCAGTAGGGAAGACAGAGAAGCCCTGGAGCTGTGTTCCAGGGAAGGAAAGCAGACAACACCTAGTAGTTAAGTTGTAACAGAGGGCAAGTGGGCGAAAGGAGGGACTGCCATTTCATATAGATGATCAAAGAAAGCACAAAGGAGATATCTAAACAGAGACCTTAAGAAACCAGGGGTCCGGCTGCCATGGCTCAGTGGTTGAGTGTTGACCTTTGAACCAGGAGGTCATGGTGGATCCCCAGTAGGGGGGTGTGCAGGAGGCAGCTGATCAATGATTCTCATCATTGATGTTTCTATCTCTCTCTCCTTCTCCCTTCCTCTCTGAAATCAATAAAAATGTATTAAAAAAACCCACCAACAACAAGGAATGTGGGTGGACTGGAAGGTGGGCAAAATGGGTGAAGATGGTAAAAGTGTACAAACTTCCAGTTATAAGATAAACTAGAGGCCCGATGCATGAAATTCATGCAAGAGTAGGACTTAGCAGCTGCGGTGGCTGCCTAGATCCCATGGCTGCAGCCCGGCTTCATCCAGAAGGAAATCTGGAAGGATGTCCAGTCTAATTAGCATATTATGCTTTTATTATTATAGACTAAAGGCGTGGTGCATGAAAATTCATGCACTGGAGGGGGG